CATTTTCTTTACTAAAGAACCCTTGAAGAACCATCTTTTAAGGGTATACAGATCTATAAAAGCATTTAACTGCTGCAAAAATCTTTACATTACGTTAATTTTCTTGAAACTTTAAAAAGGTTCTTTGTGCTCAAACATCTCATTTACAAAACAATGGTTCTTTAAAGAACCACCCACTGGTTCTATAAAAACTCAAAGGTGGTTCTTTCATAGCTTCACTCCAAAGGACCCCTCTTGGTTCCATTTGGCACCTTTATTATTAAGAGGACTGTGTAGGACTCTAAAGGTAAGAGAACATGTTGATCCTGCGTCATTTATCTGAATCACTGCTCCATCATTTTGGATGAGCAGGAACGATTGTCATTACAGAAAGCAGAGTGAATGAGTGGAGGTCTGTATGACTGGTAAGTATGTGTAAGTGGGTGAGTACATTCAGGCTGTGCCGTGTTAGGCTAGTGGATGACACATCTGCAGAAAGCAGTCCTGATTCCCTGCTTAGATTACTGGGCAGGAGGCAAGGACAACAGCGTCCCAGATGGCGTCCGCTGTATTGATTTTGGCCGGTGAACATGATAAACGGTCAAAGGGCTGAGCCTTGAGAGCCATTGAGCAGTTACAGGCCTTAGCCTCAAGGAACGTGTTGGATCCACCGATAGGCACAGGGAGCGTCCAGAAGGAGCAATGCAGTCATTTAGAGAGGTTTGATGTAAAATGCTTCATTCCAGAGAAACTTACCAGGTCAGGATTCTTCATAGTGATTCTGATAGGAACCAGACGTCTGAAGAGGTTAATGCCTCTTAAAGCCCCCTCACATAGTTATTACATGAAATAGTTACAAATGCACTGACTGATGTCTGAAATATTATTTTATAATAGTTTGTAGAAGATTTTGGCCTGAGAATTTCAGAATTTCATCAATATTCCATATAAAAACTCAGTAGACTCGTGTAGGTTCACTGGTCCTTTTGGATCGTAAATAAAATGTCTATATTTGTGTTGTAGTCATGGTGACCCCTGGTTCCTATCACCACCACTGTAAAGAAATCTGTAAAAAGAGAGTAAAAAGAAAGAGCCTGTATTTTTTTTACAGTAAACCCTTTCACATCAAACCACTCTGAATGACTCTGTTGATCAAGACAGATGAATTATAATGAAAAGAATCAGTGAAATAACCCTTTGAGGTAGAGGTCTGCACTCCTGCTGATTCCCGCTGGACCCGCCACAATATCTTGCAGCGCGGGACTAATTTCCAGTGTTGTGCACAGGAGAGGGTGGGAAACCAGCCCACTGCAGGCGGGGGCAGGACACAGCACGCATGCAAATTAATGAATAACCTAAATAAAGTAGAATGATCACTAAATTATATATATAAACAATGTAAAAGGATAACAGTAAAATAATGAAAATGAATGAAGTTATTCTAAAGAGTTGTGAAGCAGCCGATCACGTGAACAACAGGCAAATTCTCGTAGCCTACAAATATGACGGAGCCTTCAGTCTGACAGCCACAGCTGCCCAGCAAAACACCAAAAATAACCACTCTGTGGTTTAATTCCTGCTTTGTGTTTACTGGGAATAAATGGCGTTTGGTGAAGTTACTCACAGTGAGCCTGATGACCACGACTGCCGTGTTATTTCAGCAGAGAATAATGTATTTGTGAATAGACAATGTCAGATATTGGGTGCCAGTTTGCCTTGATGGAACTACACAAGCGGGAGTGGGACAAAACGTTTTGTTTGCGGGCAGGAGTGGGACAAATGATTCAGATTTTCTGCAGGAGCGGGATGAAATCTTGTGGAAGCGGGTGGGAGCGGGCCTGAAAAAAAAAACCGCCCTGCACAGACCTCTACTTTGAGGGTCTCTGAGCTTGCTGATCATTTCTGGGGGGTTGGGGGGTTTGTGACACATGATATTATTGGTTAAAGCTACACTATGTAAGGCTTTTGGGCTTTTGGAGACCTCTCTGGTGGAAATGTGGAACTGCACACATTTTGTAGTGTCAGTTGTGCTTCGGACCCCTTCCCTAAGCAGATGGATTAATCTGATGATTGCGAGAGTGTTGAAAGAGAATTCAAAGAGAACTCAGTCAAAACTTGGTGAATGATTCTGATCCTGACTCAGTAATGCTACTTCTTTCACTTTTAACAAACAAATCTTACATAGTGCAGCTTTAATATTATTTTTCCTTGCCTCTTGGTGCATAGTGATGTAATCAAGCATCACAAGATATTTTAGAAATGGGCAAAATTATTATATTTTGTTGAAAGATTATGAAAAAAAATGGGTTTAGATTTCTGGTTTCCTTTAATATTTTTGTCATATGGAGCTTCTAACAGCAAACAGGCTTTTTGCCTGAGAACTCAGGAGGCAGAAATATTTTCTAATTTCTACTATTCTATACTTAAAAAGATGGTTCTTCAAGGGTTCTTCAGTAAAGAAATTGGTTCTATATAGAAGCACGAACACTCAAAGGACCCTTTTCATGATTAAAGGTTTCTTTGCATTGTGAAAGAGTTCCTCAGATTAATGGAGAGGCTGTTTTATATGGTTCTATATAGAATCTTTTTGAAAAGCGTTCTGTATAGCACAAAAAATGTTCTTTAAATGTTAATGGTTCTACACAGAGCCATTTTCTTTACCAAAGAACCATCTTTTTAAGTGTATTGCCCCAAAAATGGTTCTTCTATTGTATCAAGCTTGACACTGTAACAACGACAGAACCCTTTTTAAAAAGGTTCTGTATAGAACCATATATGGCACATTCTCCATCAGTCTGAAGAACAACTTCATGATGCAAAGAGCCCATTAATCATGCAACAGGTTCTTTAAATGTTAATGGTTCTACATAGAGCCATTTGCTTTATCAAAGAACCCTTGAAGAACATTATCCTTCAATCTGATGAACCATTTAATGATGCAAAAAACGCTTTAATCATCCAGAGTTCTTTGCATGTTCAGGGTTCTGTACAGAAACATTTTCTTTACTAAAGAACCCTTAAAGAAACGAAATGAATCATGGTGATAACTGAGATTACATGATGCTCTGAATTGTTTCCTAAAGATCTGCAATGGAGCCGAAGTCAGAGATTTACACCTCACTCAACACTCATTACACACCTGCTGCCATGAAAAAGCTCCACTGGTAGTTACTGCTAGTTAAAGGGTGGATCACATTCAAGAAGAACAATGTTGACTAGCTAGCAGACAGTGTTCGGTACAAGGCTGCGTGTGCTGTCCCTCTAATCTAAGCTTGCCTTGTTAACATTCTAGGCATGGAGCTCAAACACTGCTACTCATCTCACACCGTCTCTGAAGGGCAATCAGCAAAGACGAACAGCGAGAACAGGTCACATTATTGCCTGTGCAACATGTATTGATCTACAGTCATTTTTGGAGAGGACCATGTAGTGTCAGAGGCACGGCCTGTGAAACCTCACTCTAATCTCTCAAGTCATTATACCGTTAGTGAGTCGTAACCCAGTCCTGTGGTCATTTCTTATTTTTTCTCTCCTACCAGCAGCAAAACTGAGTCGAGAAATCAAATGGCCCGATGATTTGTTGACGTCTGTTGTGCTTGAGTTAAAAGTAGTGATGCACGATGATACTGCATTCAGTTTTATATGATTATTTCAGGATTTATTTTACAGGGCGACTCACAGCAGTGCACGCTCACCATATTTTAGCCTGTTTTTATTCTTCTGGCTCAGTAATGATACTTTCAGGTTTAACAGAAAAAAAAAATCTTACGTAGTGCAGCTTTAATATTATTTTGCATGGTCATTAATGAAACATCACAAGATGTTTTAGAAATGAGCAAAAGTCATTGTATTTTAAAGAAAGATTATAAGAAAACAAGAAAAAGGCTTTTCAATGATGTAGATATGGCAAATTGTGTTTAATGTAATCAGAGACATGAACAAGTTAAAAAGGGTGAGTTTAGATTTCAGGCTTCCATCTCTGAAGGGCAATTAGCAAAGATGATCAGCAAGAACAGGTCACATTATTTTTTCTTTCCTACCAGCTGCAAAACTGTAAGATGGCGTTTTAGGGACACTGTTAAAAAAAATAGTTGTCTTTGAGAAAAAAGTTATAATATTTTGAGGATAAAGTGGGCTAACTGTAGGACGGCTGCCGTAACGCCCCTCATTTTAACACGAGGTGCTGCCTTCCCTTTGCAAAGCCTTTGGCCACAATATTGCAACTTTTCCTGGTATTAATGCCACTTTAATGTTGTAATTCTATGACTTTTTTCTTGAAATATTATGGCTTTTTTTTCGAAATATTAAAACTTTTTTCTCGAAATATTACGATTTCTTTCTCAAAATATCATACCATAGTTTTTTTCTCGAAATATTACAACTTTTCTAAAATATTATGACTTTTTTCTCAAAATATTATGACTTTATTCTTGAAGTCTACTATTTTTATTTTTATTAACAGTGGCCCTAAAACACCATCATAAAAGTTGAGCAATCAAATGGCCCGATGATTTCTTGGGTTAAAAGTAGTGATGCACGATGATACTGCATTCATCTCGGTACTGGAAGATAATTGCTTTAAAAAATTATCGGAACCAGACAGATGTTTACGGACGTCCAGAGAGGCCATGAGGCAGTCATAATTTTCTGGATTGTTATTTTGAGATAATTAATTATCTTGTTATCTCAAAATGGCAAAATTGTTCTCGACATAATGAGTTACTTATCTTGTTATCTTGAGATAACAAAGTTGTTATCTTAAGATAAGAAGTTAATTATCTTGTGATAAAAAAATATCATTTCAGTGGATTATGGTTCAGTTATGTTCCCTGACTAAGGGTACTGAGATAAACCCGTGAAGGAACCTCCGCAATGACGAGAGGGGAACTGCCCCCGTGACAGTTTAGTACCTTTATTTCTGAGAGTGAGGAGTTTAACACCCTGGCGTATTTAGTTATAGCAGATGACACTGCTAAGCAAAAATAGCTAGTTAGCCTGGGAACTGTCCAGTGGTCACTCACCGTGCGTGAGGTAGAGATGGGTGCTGAGGTGGGGGTCAGGGGTGGTTTAGCGGAGGGCAGGCTGAAGCGTTGACCTGTGTCCAGGGGCGAAGAGATGGATCGAAGCCGTTCCTCAGGTTGCTCAGGGTCACTGCGGTTGCCTTCCAGAGGGAACGGTGGAGGCTGTTTGGTCACTTGAGTTGGAGTAGTGGGCGGTGAGGAGAGACTAGAGGCTGTGTGGAAGGACAAAGAGATAGAAAGAGACAGACAGAGGTCAGATATTAGCTTCTGCATGTGGTAACGTATGTAAACGCTATTTAAATTTTCAGTATGTAAAAATAAAGCTCCTTTGAAGCTCTTTTGAAGCTCTAGTAGTTGATGTGGGTCTGTGTTCATCTCAGATGTTCACTCTGCGTCTCTCAGCTTCAAGTTTTTGCGCTCGTCAGCTGTGACGGAAAAGCTGACAGCAGAAAATAACTTGATTTTTTTTTTCTTTCCATTTCAAAAACATTAAAGATGGTTCACTGCTGAAAACATATGACAACGTGCCAGACCTGAGTACAGTGATCCTCTATTACCTGCAGGTCACTGCATTTCAATCTTTAACTATTTCTGCAAATACATGACCAGGGTAAGACAGACGGACAGACAGACAGACAGGTAGATAGATAGATAGATATATAGATAGATAGATAGATAGATAGATAGATAGACAGACAGACAGACAGACAGGTAGGTAGGTAGGTAGGTAGGTAGGTAGGTAGATAGATAGATAGATAGATAGATAGATAGATAGACAGACAGACAGACGGATAGATAGATGGATAGATAGATAGATAGATAGACAGACAGACAGACAGACAGACAGGTAGATAGAAAGACAGATAGATAGATAGATAGATAGATAGATAGATAGATAGATAGATAGTCAGACAGAGAGACAGATAAACAGATAGATATATAGATAGATAGATAGATAGATAGATAGTCAGACAGAGAGACAGATAGACATAGATAGATAGATAGATAGATAGATAGATAGATAGATAGATAGATATTTTTTTATATTGATATTGATATTTTGACATTCTATGTGTTAAACATGTCTTGATTCTTCAGAATCTAATTATACACTACATAGAGCACAAAAAATCCCAACTCTTAGAATTTATGAGCAATTTTGCTGTTTGTCAGGAAATCCATGATCCATGGACAGACGGGATCTGGAACTGGCGGCTGGGACAGTTTGACCTGCAGCAGCTCTGGCACTAGGGTGTTGAAAGCCGAGCTGAAGTCCACAAACAGAACTCTAGTGTAGGTTCCCGGACTGTCGAGATGTCGTAGCCTGAAGTGCAGGGCCAACTTGACATCATCGACAGACCTGTTAGCTCTATATTCACACTGCAGGGGATCCAGCAGAGTGTTCGTAATGGTCCTCAGGTGGGCTAGGACCTGGCGCTCAAAGACCTTTATCACTACAGCACTACTGGCCTGTAGTCATTTAGTCCAGTGATGTTTGGTTTTTGGGGACTGGAATGATGCTGGATGTTTTGAAGCATGATGTGGGAACATAGCAGAGTTCCGGTAATTTGCTGATGCTGGTAAAAACAGGTGCTAGTTGGTCACAAGTGGATGTGTACCATGAGAAACGGTGGAAAGGTGTTACTGAGGAATGCTTAATGCCTGACATGCTAAACCAAACTTACAGCTCAGCATAAGAACTACTAACAGACAGACCTGTACTGGCTCTAAGGTAAGCTAAACTTCCCTTGGGTTACTGTACTTGGTGAAAACCGGTCAGAAGCGATGCTACAGAAAAATGTTAAGAACAGTAAATTAACAGAGTTTGATAAAGACAGTTAGCTTGATAAATGTTAGCACCAAGCATTAGCTCATGTGAAGGGGTCGATTCCGTCGTTTAAACTTCCCCCTTATTAGACATGAAAACCTACCACTTTAACATCAAGTGACTGAACAGTTTCCCCGGTTTGATTAAGGTGAACCTGCTTTCCAGGATCAGTGTTGGTTCTGAATGGGCCTACATGCGTATTTTGTCAGTTCCCAAACATAAACGTCTGCATTGAACAGCCAGTTTATTTCTGAATAACCCAATATTTAATTATTGGCTGTTTCTCTCTTATATTAAGAAACAGACCCACTTATATGCATTTTTTATTTATTATTGATTCTTCCTTGTTTATCTTTTCTAGAATCTTTGAAAGGCTATGCATGGTATGTTTCATTCAGATGAGTCAATTTTTACAGTTTAGCCATTTTTTGAATCTCTCATTACTCAATTAGTTGTGTAAAACAATCAGCATATGATTCTATTACTAATAATAATCGATAATGGCAGCTCTACTACATACAACGATCAGGCATAACATTATGACCACCTCCTTGTTTCTACGCTCATTGTCCATTTTATCAGCTCCACTTACTATATAGGCGCACTTTGTAGTTCTACAGTTACAGACTGTAGTCCATCTGTTTCTCTGATACTTTGTTAGCCCCCTTTTACCCTGTTCTTCAGTGCTCAGGACCCCCATGGACCCTCACAGAGCAGGTACTATTTGGGTGGTGGATCATTCTCAGCACTGCAGTAACACTGACGTGGTGGTGGTGTGTTAGTGTGTGTTGTGCTGGTCTGAGTGGATCAGACACAGCAGTGCTGCTGGAGTTTTTAAACACTGTGTCCACTCACTGTCCACTCTATTAGACACTCCTACCTTGTCAGTCCACCTTGTAGATGTAAAGTCAGAGACGATAGCTCATCTGCTGCTGCACAGTTTGTGTCGGTCATCCTCTAGTCCTTCATCAGTGGTCACAGGACGCTGCCCACAGGACGCTGTTGGCTGGATATTTTTGGTTGGTGGACTATTCTCAGTCCAGCAGTGACACTGAGGTGTTTAAAAACTCCAGCAGCACTGCTGTGTCTGAACCATGGGGGTCCTGACCACTGAAGAACAGGGTAAAAGGGGGCTAACAAAGTATGCAGAGAAACAGATGGACTACAGTCTGTAACTGTAGAACTACAAAGTGCACCTATATAGTAAGTGGAGCTGATAAAATGGACAATGAGCGGAGAAACGAGGAGGTGGTCATAATGTTACGCCTAATCAGTGTACACAGCTCCCCTCTCGGCTCTTGTACTGCACTGTGACCTTATGATCTAAGCTTAAAGGTGAGCCATGTTGGATAGTAACAGATCCTTCCTGAACCTGCTGTATGCTGAACCCTCAAAAGCTCAAGCCTGAAGGACAGGTCAAGAAAGGCGGCCTGAGAAGCACGTCTCCCTGTTTAACGGCTCTCTTAGAGACACAAAGCCGAGGGCCTGTGCAGCCTGCTGGGTTTTATCACACTTATTTCACACCTCGCCGAATCCTGGGGCCAGCAGGTTTCACGCTGCGTTTCCCAGCACTCCCTCTCACCCTGCGACACAGCAGCCTGCGTATTCCAAAGAGCCAGAGGAGAGGGGCTGCTCACTGCAATGATTCATCTTAAAGTGATGGTTCCATGAAAAATCGAATTGGCACCGTTTCCCCTTTCGGTCCATACTTTTGTTCACATAGGCGAGTCTGTACACTGCTAGTAATAAAGGTTCTGTTCAGGTACATTTTTCATTCATCAAGGTACAAACACTGTAAATGTTCCCTCAAAGCTACAACAGTGGTTTTAAGGTCTGATTGTGAACCTTAAATAAGTTTTTCCAGGTGAAAAGTTTGTATTTGTACCTTTTCATAACCGAATGTTTTAAAACAGAACAATAAAATTAACCTTTTCAACTCCTTGAGACCACCGGTGGTTCCAAAATGCACTTTGTCATATTCTTCATATTCAACTTTCATATTTCATAAGCTACATTGTAAAGGTGGGGGTCATATGAGAGCTGTAACTGTCTTCTTTCCAGTCAAATATATGGGTGATGTAATTTTAAACCCTTATAATAAAAGAAGCTGAACTCACAATTTTTTTTTTCTACTGAAAGTCGACACATTTTTCCACAAATCTGAGTTATAAACTATAAACGGATGGCGTCTCTTCAGTGATCTGATCTGTAAAAATTAATTTAATAAAATAATACAGAGCGTCTAAGATTTTTGGCTTTCAGCAGTAAATTGTAAGCATATAGCAATATGTTTATGATCATAAAACACATGTTCTGTTAATCTGAGGGAAGCTTTTACAAAAAAATAAATAAATAAAATAAAAATTTACATTTATTTCATGCAGTTACTGAATATTTTGCCTTACAATTTGGTCATGTAAATTCAGATGGACAAAACCAAAATACACCCTGGTGAAAAAGCCTGGAGACGAGACGGGGTGTGTGGAGTCAATACAACTCAGAAAATGTAATTTCAGTGGATTATGGTACAGTTATGTTCCCTGACTAAAGGTACTGAGATGTACCTTTGAGGGTCCCACCCCAGTGACCAGAGGGGCACTGCCTTTATTACCTCTATTTCTGAGAGTGCATGAAGTTACGTAACAACATAAATAAGGCAATTGTTGATGATTCAGGCGTGCAGTTGGTTGTTAACGATGCTATTTAGCAATTATAAGCTTACATTACTTGTTAGCTGTGTAGACAAGCTGTCATTTTGCAGTTGGCGTCTTGCCCACATTAGGAACTTCAGCTATAAGCCGGTTTTCTCTATAAGAAAAATGAATTCTGTTTTTGAAAATCGCTGCTATCGCTACAAAAATTATTACAAATCTGGTACGTTTTGCCGTACGGAGATTTTTCCTCCAAACGTCACTGAATCCTCTGAATTATGAGGTCATTATGGAGCCAAATACGAATATAGCTAAATGCTAGCTAGCACTGCTATGTGCTAAATTGATATACAACTGGCACCTTCAAGAACAGCAAACATAAAACAACAAGCTTTGTCAAATGTGCTGGTTAAGCTGCTTTGGCACTGATAGTTTACAGTTTGTGTAGCTGGTATGTGGAGTTTAATAGTAGACTTATTTTCATGTGATGTCATTTTAAACTCATAGCATGCATGTAGCATTATTTGTATTTTGACCGCTAAAGGACCTCGTAATTCAGACGATCACAGTCACATTCAGGAGGGAACGGACACAGGGCAAAATATATCTTGTCTGGAGCATTTTCGCTTACTATGGTGTGCGACATCAATTTTTCATTCATTTTTTTAAAGAAAAGACTACAGAACGATGCTTCAAAGGTCTATTAGTTTTGTAGCTGCAGTGCAAAACTAAA